GGGTTGCCACAAAGAAGAGGGAGTCAAGGTATCCAAAGCAGGACAAGAAGCAATGGATGGAAACTAATCAAAGAGAGAAGCAACTTAGAATTAAGGAGAAATTTCCTGGCAGTCAGAACAATTAATCAGTGGAACAACTTGCCTCCAGAAGTTGTGAATGCTCCAACACTGGAAGTTTTTAAGAGACTGAACAGCCATTTGTCTGAAACGGTATAGCAGTGATGGCGAACCTTTTAGAGAGTGAGTGCCCAAACCCCAACCCAAAACCCACTTATTTATCGCAAAGTGCCAGGTTTGCATCAGCATTGTGGTGCCCTCGGGGGGGGGGGTCAGGGAGGTGCCTCTGAGTGCCGCCTCTGGCACACAAAAACTGGGGGTGCAAAAATGGGCCACCATGCATCAAGGCACAAAAATGGCCACCGCACCGCGGGATGCAAATACAAGGTACTGTACCATGACCATGCAAGAACGGGGCAGGGCTAGTGAGTATCACGCAGGCACTACCCCTGCCCCATTTGCAGCACATGCGTGCTCACGGTCCCATGCACACATGCACACATGCAAAATGCTTCCCCCTACCTTTTCTTCCAGTCCACCAATCAACAATGGTTGGTGATCTCTGCTTTACCACCTCTACTCGAGCTTGCTAGTCGGCCGCTTCGCCTCCTTTGTGCTGGGCGTGGCTCCTGCTCTGGGCAGTGGTGGTGGCTTGATGGACCTGGGGCTGGCAGCAATGGTGCACGTGCCAACAGAGAGGGCTCTGAGTGCCGCCTCTGGCACGTGTGCCATAGGTTCGCCACCACTGCGGTATAGCGTTTCTTGCCTGAGCAGGAGGTTGGACTAGATGACCTCCAAGATCCCTTCCAACTTTATTATTATTGTAACATGGTTTCTCTTTTATATGCCTTCATATTATTTATGAGTTCAATTTCTTTTTCTAAAATATCTGCAGCAGTTTTCTAACCCAAGAAACCATCAAGTTTTATATGCCTATTCCAACAATATGCCTTTACAGGATTTCTATACCTTGTTTCTCTGTACTTTGCACTTGAACTTCCTTAGTATCTTTTGCTCAAAATCCATACTGAGCATAGACATCAGCTCACTCATCTTTTCTTTAGGTGATAGCTATAGGATCCCCAAAGGGAATTCATTTGTAGCACCTATGTGGGTTTGGCCATTTATCTCCTAAAGCCAAACTGTTTAAAATGTTATCACGTTGATACAGATGCCTCTCATCTTAATAGATTGTGAAATTTTTCTCTATGTAATAAAAGCTTTAAAATGTATTTAATTACCCAGACCCCCAGTCAATTGAAATCTGAATTTATTAATAAAAATGAATGTCTTGGTTTAAATTAGTCATGCTTCCCTTTTGCTTTGCCTGTCAAGATTGAATTGCTACAATGCATGTTAGTTTCATCATCTTGTCAAAGAAAAGGGGGAGGGAATGGAATGCCAAGAAGCCATTCATGGACCTTGAGAGCCTGTACCACGCCAAGGTTATTGCCGCAGGTGCTCGATGGAGAACAAACAAAAAGAAATATTACTATTGGACAATGTAAACACCCGGTGGGAGGGGACAGGGAATCCAGTGTTTAACTAAGCAAGCTTTTGCGCGGGAAATCTCAGAATTGGTTTTGCTTCTTCAGTTTTGAGATGCTGTACTCAATAAAGTGGTGCCTGCTGGGACTTAATTGCCTTGAGGATTCCTTTTGTTGGGTTCGCTAGTCGGACTGCTGACATTACCTCTCTTGAATATCTAAGGGTTTTCTGTGGATATGCATTTATAAGCATTAGGTTCAAGAGATACCCGGAGGCCTGTCCTTCTCGTGGCGAGCTGCAAAAACAGCATGTGTAACATTACAAAATATATTTTCTAAAGATAGCATAAGTAAATTCTACCTAGTAAATACATTTGCATTTTTATCCTAAGTGTAGCTTTGGAAAAGAAAATATAAGTATTAGGATGAGATAAAACATGTTTGAGAGAAAAACCAGTATCAGCATTATGAACTACTATGAGTGAAATAAGCGATAGTTTTATTTTTATTTTCTAGAACTTGCTCATAATTAATTGAAATACTGCCAAATCAGTTTTTCACAGAGAAGGAGAACCCAGTTAGAAAGATATGTCATTTTAATTTTCCTTCAGTTTAGATTTCAGCAAAGCAGGTATTATCTTAATCCATATAAATGGAGTATTTTAATGATAAAAATGTGTGTATAGTATTTCAGTGTTAATATGCATATTATTTGAAGGAAACACAAATCCTGCTAATAGTTCCTTCAGCTAAAAGAGTTTATTTATTTATTTATTTATTATTTCAATTTATATCCCGCCCTTCTCCCGAAGGACTCAGGGCGGCTCACAACATTATTAAAACAAAGAAAGACCCACACACCCCACCGAATAAAACCAAATTAAAACCAAAATTTTTATGTTGTGATAATTAAAATTTCTAAAAAACCCAGTTTAAAAATCCTCCCTAGGCCAGGC